AAGTAGTACATTTGCAGTGTGACTTAAAGCAAGTAAACAAAAATCAAATTACAGGCTGTTTATACAGACTGCTTATAAATTTTACAATGGAATATATTAATTAACTTTGATTGGCTTTAGAAAATAATTATTATTATATTAACTTGTTCATGTAGTATCAATTGATTTCTACAGTCTGCTGCACAAGGGAGCCATTAAATGGGAGTTCACCAGTCTCAAATTGACACCCAGTCAGAGTTGTGGGTTATAATGTGTATAATATTAGTGAGTCAGCAGTGCATTTCAAGTCAAGGTAATTTGGTTGTAGTGCTTCTTCAGTTAACATTCGAGTGTTGCATTACGAAAAGGCTGCATTGTAATTATGCAGAAAGTATGTTACATGGTTTTGACATTCTTAATTTTAAGACAATCAGGTTGAGAATGCCAAGAATATTTTGCACAATTTTACCTTAGTGGGACACTGATATTACGAGGGATCGACTGTATAATTGGCTAAGCTGTAGTGGTCTCCTTGCCTAATAATAAAAAATCTGTGTATGTAAGTATTTTAATTAGATAGGCAAAGTTGAATAAATAATTAAAAGATATTGCAAATACAAACAACATGATTTTAGCTAGCTTAAATGGGAATAGAGAGAAAAGTATTTCTGCAAATATTATAAGAATCATTTCAAACAGTTTTCAGCATTCCTCCCAGAAAGGGCTACTTGAAAAAGTTTGGCTGAAAATGATACTCTGCCATAAAATCCCTGCTACATCTTGTACCAAAAAAGTTCAATTTTGTTTTTGAATTTGAACCCAAAGTGAAGGGGATGTTTTTATTTACAGTCATATATAAATTTTCTCCATGTAACTACGCCCAGGAGGAGGGAAAAGGGACCTAACCAAGTTTTACACAAGGAGGCTCTGCCCCAAGGTCAAGATAATTTCCCTTTTGTATAGTGTTTTTTTTTTCCCGAAAAGTTTACCCTTTCATATACATGTAGCTCCAAACTTCACATATCTACAGTACACCCATTACGTCTCTTTTCGTGGATAAATTAGCAAGGAATGTCTAAAATCCCCGCCTTTTTGTCATAAGTCCCCGCTGATAAAAAGTGCACCTCGAGTCAACCATTGGAGTCCCCCAGATTGTAATGTAGACAATAAAAATAGCAATAGTTTCTTTTTTGGAAACAGAAATCACACTATTTTACTCTTATCTTGGCAATTGTTTGTGTTCATTTCACTGGCAATGCAGAAATATTCAAAACGATTGTTGACAGGTACAATTTATATAATTTCAAGTTTTTATTCCGGAACTTTGTTTACATATCTCATTTTAAAAACAAAAATAAGATTATACATACATCACCAGTGTGTTTGACATGATTGGACAGTAAATCTCTCTCGCAAAAAAGTAGATCTGCACAGTCTTGTCTATCCATCACTTAAATTTTAGCTGGCATATTTACTCAATCGTGGATGCTGACTTGTGTACCATTCATGAAGAAATGCTCACTATAGTCGAACTGCATAGAACACAGAAGAAATGTAGTGTGAAGAACAACAAAATTAAAAGATCAGGCAATTTGAATTTTTTCCTTGAGGTAAGCTTATTTTAAAATAAAAAATAATTAAATCACGAGTTTCGAATTTAAGATACGTCGTGCTCAGCAATGCCAGAATTTCAGTATGTATATATATAAAAAAATACAATACAGAAACAGGCTACCTTAGACTTACCTTGGACTCTACAAAGAGAGAAAGCGAGTGGAAACCACCAACTCTTCTAGCCAAGAAAAAAGAAAAAAGCTACGAGCCACGTCTGGTAAACACGATCTCACTTCTTGACTTCGACTTGTATCAATTCTTTGAGCTCGCCGGCCGCGCTGTTGTGACCGTTACATGACCACAGTCACAAATACCTCTCTCAACTTTCATCTACGTGTGAGCAAAAGCACTAAGCAAAATACTACATATTTACAAAAGCGAAACACAAGAACCAAAATCAAAATGGCCGCTCTCGACTTTGGAGGTCTTCGAGAACTCGTACCCAGGCTCTCAATGTGTTATCGGCCAAAAGTGTGATACATAAGCATATTTTGCCCCATAACAATAGTCGTTTCTACGCTTCGCGTATCCACGACTAAAAAGGGGNACCGGTATTCGTTTAGGAACAGGAAGACTTTCATTAAACCCCACAATTCCGTAACATATCAGCTTTCAGAAACGTCCTTATTTGAATCATTCACTTCACGTTTTTTGTGGGAGCCACAAATAGGAAGAATAAATAACTACAATGGATGTATTACATCGATGTCAAGGAGCAATTTGATGTAGTACGTTTCATGACAAGGGCACCCATATTTAGCAGGCAGGGATTCAGTATGTTCCAAGTGCGCAGTGTTTCTGAGGTCACATTCCGAGTTCGAAATATACTCTCATCATTCAGTGACAATTTTTACTCTGCAATAGAAATTGGTCTGTACTTCCTGTATAGAAAGAATGTTATTGGTGCATTCAAACTAAATGAAAAAATCGTTAGGTCCCGCTACTCGTTTTCGAAAAGAAAACGACAGTTTGTCTCTCGCAAGCCAAGCCGTTTGGAAAAAGCCACCATTTTGTTTATGTCAGTGCGCACGCTAATTGTGCGTGATATTCTGCGCTGTAAGGATACTCAACGAATTTCAGAGAAATCTAATTAAAAGACTTTACTGTGACAATCTATGGGGTAGATCTGGGCGGAGAATCATTACAATGGTTATAGGCCTTTCAATGAAGAAACACAAGGGACGGTGTTTCATCCCATTTCCAAACACTGAGAAGACAGTTGAGAATGCAACGCGCAGCAAAGTGTCTTTTTGACGAACTTCGAAGAGTTTAGAAATGCAGTGGAAAACACTCTTAATATATCTTCTCAATCGAAACTAAAACTTAGGAGAAAACGGCACGAACAAGGCACCTTCGGGAAAGCTCTTGTTATCCGAGTTATTGGAGACTGCGTGACGAGCATGGAAATTCTGTGAAGCTCTCAAAAAAGATGATTAGACTGAAGAATTACTTTAAAAAGGCTCGCTACATTCTTGCGTTTCTCTGTAAAGTTCCAATTCCGGGTAACTCGGCCGCAGTAAGTTTATAGTTGAGTTCTTGAGACTGATTAAATAGCAGAGTTCTCGGGAGGTTTGAAATTCAGTATGTCGACTGCTTCACTTTGCTACTCAGTGATAAGATTTTTTTTGTCAGCCAGTTTTAGTTTTCGAGGAAGGTTATATTTTTTGTGAAAATATTTGACATGTGGTTCACGTACTAAAAGCGTCATTCTCAACCAGTGTTCCCACCTAACAAAGTCGCGATCAAATTCGCACTTAAGTCAGACGTGATTTTGTAACTCTTCCTGTCGCATTTCTTCAATCTTATTTAGACCCTTTGCAATTTGAGGATGCAGTCCTTCAATCAAGATGTGCAACTTTCCATTGAGCACCTCTTTCGTGAGCCCAAGACTGACGCTCGCTGTTTTTGCTAACTCAGCGAAAATGTTTTGAAGGGACAGAAAGCTGATTCTCCAGAAAATTGCATCAAAGCTCTCTTTGGTCTCCCTGTTGTAGGCAAAAAGTGCTGAATTGTTGAATTTGAAGTACATGTCACTAGGAATGGTAACTTTTTTGATGGCTTCAAGTACAGGAGGTTGTTGGCCATACCAAAGATCGATAAGACTGAGTTGAAGATGTACTCTTGTCGTGGAGTGAGGCGCGCTAGGGAAGCTTGAGTAACAAAGCCATGCCAATACCATCCAAGTGGTCGATGCCATTTGGGGGATGAGTAGAGGAGGATTCCTTTATTTGAGCCATGAACTTCTCTCTCTTTGGTGTCACCAAAGCCAGGTGTGTAAATGATAGTGAATGTATAGGGAATATAGCTGAACCTTTCATGGGATACGATTTGTACGCGGTGATTAATTTTGTCTGGCTGTTGGCCTGCGATACGACCTTGTTTTTTACGACGAGCTTGTATCGAAAGGTTTCCTCCCAGTCAACGCCCAAGATGAAGCTAACCATACCGTAAGGTTGATCAGAGTCGTTTTTCCAGCTCCGGCCCTGTCGCGCCCACACCCATGACTTTCTGGGTTAGAGGTCCTTTTCACACATCTGGGTGGCCCACCGATACATTGTCTAGCAATCATGCTGTTCTCTAGTCTCATTCGTTCGTTTATTGATAGCCTGTAAACTGATGGCGATCCCTCTGTAATCTTCTTTGATGATGAAAGAAAACACTCAGCTAGACGATAGGGAACGAACTATGCCGTACTTTACCCGTTTGATGTTTTAAAACCACACCTGGTGGCGCCATTTCCCCCTTTTTTTCAGGAGGCTTGTGGTCAGGGCTTGTTGGGCAGGCTACCTTCTTATTTTTAGGGCTTTCAACATTGTTGGCAGATTTGGAAGAAGCTGGACAATTGTTATTTGAACAACTGGTTGGCTACTCAAAAGTGCAATCTTCCTTTTTATATTGGAGAAGCTCTGATTTAGTCGAGGAGCCTTCAGTCTGAGGACGAGCAACACTTTCTTTGCAACTGGTAACGATGCGGTCACTGAAGTCACTCATCACTCCTACCTGCTTTACATTCACTGTTCACCTTGAACAAGTTCGCCGTTTCCGCTTCCAATCCATCCACTGTGAAAAATCTCTCTGGTCCCGCTGTCTACACAGACGTCCATTCTCCGCCGGGTCCTCTACTTGAATTGCTGACAGCTGGTCGAAAGTGCACGGTCTATTTTTGGACAGAGCATATTTCAAGTGGTGATTTCTTCCATTCTAGAGTAATACTAGAGTGACTCTTCTTCGTTGCATAAGGCTTTTCAGGTTTACCTGGAGGCTCAAAATCTGTAGCATGACCATCTTCATACGGATGAATCGTAACAGCTTTCTGGTCCGTACTCCTGTGAATGTTGGTGAAGATGAACTTGGTGTTTCATTTTCCTTTTCCTTTACAAAGCCTCTGACAATTATTGCTCTAGATTTGATGTCGTTAATTATTTCAGGATTTTCATACCACGGTTTTGCAGCAAGACGTTTTTGCTTCCAACTTCTACTTCGTAGGAAGGCGTACATCTGTTTAACCACGACGTCTTGATTAACAACTGGCAGCAGGGAAAAAAACTTGAACAACTACATCGTACTCTATCGAATCAACCACACTGTCAAGGTCTTCCAATGACAATACTAGCTGAACACCTTTTAAGTATTCCAATGAGCGGACAATAGCTTCACCTCTTTCTCTTTTCCACTCATCCAAGACGAGAGGTGGGTGTGATGAAACGGAGATGAGACATCTTTTTCAAGGACATCGGTAAGGATCTTTTGTACTTCACCACCACTTCTCACAACCGGCAACAAGCTTGATAGCGTCTTGAGTAAGTTCTTTGTGTACTCCGACACCGCTTTTCCACAACAGGAGATCTGCCTTTTTAGGCTTGAGATAATATTGTTTTCAAGGAGGTCCGATAGACGCGTTTCGAAATCGTCAAAGCTTGTAATGATATCCTGTGAAAAAAAGGGTTCATGGTAGCTGTATTAAATGAATGATAAGATTAGTTAGTTAGCTTGAGGTATTTTTGCTTCGTATAGTACGGGTCTACGAGGGAAAAAGTGCGCTGTTGACGCGGGTTTCCCCTTAGTACTGTAGAAAAGAGTTGGAAGCCTAAATTATATTGGTAAAACAGGGCAAATGGTTTCGCAGAAAGACACAAATGGAAAGTTCAAGTTTTAATATAAAACACCTGCAAAACTTTCGTCACGGTGTACGGTTTCGATCAACATTCTCGAAAAGTTCATTAAGGGCTCAAAGAAGCATATCACCTAGGTGATATGCTTCTGGCGCCCATTAACTGATCTGATCTTTTCGAGCTGTTGCCAAGGAAAATTTATTCTCATATAACCTAATCATTTTTAGTTAGTTCAGAGTTATTTCATGTGTTTTAACTTTTTCATGGTCAGTAACGCTTGTGATGACCTCATCAGGCCACGCCCATGGTCATGTGACTAATACAGAAAAAATGCAGACTCCCAGGCAATTTACTTTATCGGGATTTTTTTCACTCCTTTAATATTTTGATTTAAATCCTCAATACGCTATGCATAGATTTTGTTTCATTTCTAAAAGGTCAGATTTTGAGAAAATTTCAAAATATTGAAAAATTCGTAATTTTCAGAAAAAAGCATATTTCGAAAAAGGAATGCATAGCTATGTTTCCAACGTTGGCTTTAACTGAAGTTCGTCGAAGAAGGCTGGATTTAATGAAAAACCGCGTTTCCTTTAGCATTTAAAGTAACCAGAAGTGCGCCCGATATATATTGGAAGTTACCCTTTCAGGGCGTGCGCAATTTACACTACCAGCGCACTTCGGTAAGATCAAACGAAGCCACCCGCAGTAAGTTTTTCTCTTTCTATTGTTCTCGTTTTTCTGTCTTTGCTTGTACTTGTTTTACTTTGCATTTTGTGAAACACAAAGAAAAACATCTAAAATGTCAGCGAATTTGCAAGCTAATGAGTTGTTTTTATTTTCCGCGCTCAGCCTGTCAGCCTGACGTAAGTAACCGGAAGTGAAATTTAACCTACTTAGCATGACCCGCGCGACCGCGCGCATGAATCGGTTAATGGGCCCTTAATTGTTCAAAGCAGCTTGCAGATCGTTCACGTTCATAAAAGCCATTTTCATGATTTATAACGTTTCGAATAAACCAAATTTGGAGATTTTTTTTCTAGCAAGTGAATTGCAATGAAAGGCTTGGCTAAATGGAAGCGCGCTTCTATTTTGAAAACCAACAATAGCTTCCTAATCTGTTAGGTAGATCGCGATCAACGCGAGACCCACGACAGCTCCCGGGGAAAACACAGAACTAGCTAAGAAATGGCGTTTATGGTGTTTTTGGCGTTTTTGGCTGTCTCTTCTTGTTGAAAACATAGATAAACTTCGAGTTTCGAATAGTCTTTATCTAGTTGGTATCGAAGCTTACTTACTTGACGCCTACGCTCGCCAGATCCCCGGGAGGAAACATAGAACCAAAAAGTGGCGCTTATGGCGTTTATGGTGTTTTTGGCTGTCTTTTCTAGTTAACAATTATTCGCCTTAGGCTCGGTGAACATTGGTGAATATTCACCGACACGAGGCCTAAGGCGAATACTAACAAACAAGCGAAACACTACTACACTGACCTCATTCAAAGCTGTCATCATCGTCTCAAAATAAGTAGCATTAGTTTGAAGAAAAATAAATTTCGCTCAATCGATCTGACCAGCTGGCGATCAACGTAACCACTGTGTTTGCGATTCTAAAATTCCTTGAATACGAGTTCTTGAAAGGATGTTTGGTCCAAGGCGACAGTAGTCATTTTGAAAATTCTCCATCCTTTCAAATATCCTGGACTTGGAGTGATGTGAACTGTAGTGAGCTATACTTTGATCGCTGCTCTGCCCTGAAACGGACTGGAACATTCGCGTCTGAAAGTAAGGTTATGTGTTTATTTTAACTGATGATGATTTTATCAGTGATGTTCTGATGTTTCATTCCTGATATCAGTCTGTGTCAACAATTATTTTTGAGACTGAGAAATGTTGAATTTTTTTATTTTTTTAAAATAAACTTAATGTCAGTGGCAAACGTTTTGTTTATTGGGTTTGTTCAAATCGAGACAAGGTAATGATTTCTTACCTTAAAGTAATTTCAAAAGCAATCTCGCTAACGGACACGAAACTTGTTGTGAAATATTTTTATTTGTAGCTTGATCCAATGACGTCACAGTTACTTTCACTTGTTTAACTTTGTTACTTTCGCTTGTTAACAAAATGACGGCCGCTTCTTGGTGTTTTCGAAGTGTCTGTGAAACCTATTTAGATAAAGGTTTGAACGACTAGTAGATTTATACTAAAACTGCGCCCTCGTCAGCTATCACGCGATAGAAATCGTGGATCCACAGCTACTACGAAATTCATGATCAATAACAGAACAGACGCGTCAAAAACTGACGTCAATTTGTTAAATGTGGACGTGCCTTACGTCAAAATGAGTATGACACGAAATGTGTTCCCCAAAAGGTTCATTTTCATGCGAATCGGCTCATTTTTATATGAAAGGTTTTGTATGATCGGAGGAACTTGTTTAGAAAAAGAGGTACAAGATAACACGGAAATGGCTGTCAATAGGCCCTTTGCAGCTAAGCCATCACGTGACCTACTTTACATGAAATTATGGGCTGCAACTTTAAAAATGCCAGAAATGGGAAAAAAAAACATGTCGAAAATATCAAAATGGTCAAGTTTGAGGCCCCTGGCATTAAAGAATGAGATTAAATGACGGTTTGAATTTGCAAAAAAAACTAAGAAGATTTGTATGGAAGAAAGTTGCTGAAGAGCAAGACCTTACTCTCCAGCAACGTTTTGCATAGATATCCTCTAGATTTTTCGAATATTCTAACTGACGTATAAACTTACTCTTTAATGCCAGGGACCTCAAACTTAGCCCGCGAACGCAGACGTATTTCCAGCTGTCGCTTGTCTCCGCCGAAAATAACGTCTGCGAACCCGAGCCGGGNGGTTTGCCTTAAACTCCCCTGGAAGTCATCAAATAGCATTTTTATCTGCAAATAATCACTCAATTTACGCTTTATTGACAATAACGATTAACAGCAACATAATAAACACAATAAAAAAAAATGCCCATAAAATGTCCGTGGTGTACTTTAAGGGAGGTGCAGTATACTTTGATCTAAGTCTCCTGTGAGTGGCTGCATCAAAAGCTGATAGAAGAGAAATTTGATGCCGAGCGTTGTCTTTGTCTTTAAAACAGTAGCCTAATACAGTGTAAAACCGCGGCTGTTAACTTGATAAGTAGAGTACAGTGTTATAATCAGGAAATTAGGACAAAGTCAGTGTGGTACAGTTGTGTTGTTACAGTTACAATAACTATTGTTTGAAAGCGATGGCACTTAAATGTGACCTGCCTTAAGCATGTGTCGGATGTAGGCGATGACCTGTATTAGTAGTTGTGTTTAGTACTAATATTTGTACTTTTGTGAGACCCCTGCCTTGGTGGCTGCTATTCAATGAGCTGATGAATAAAGCTTGTCGTTATTTGTTAATTGTAACTGAATTCCGTTACTGTTATATACAAGTAAAAGATAATGAAATTGTGGATTCAGGAAGTCTAAAGGGTGACCGTGTACATTATATAAGGTGGCGGCTATATGCAGGTCAACTTAACAGTAAATATAACGGACAATTTTTGGGAAATTGTTCAGTGACTGTTATACACAGGGTGACTGCTATATACAGGACCGTTATATACAGGTTTGACTGTATCTCGTTTCTAGAACAAAAAATTAAGATTATACATACATCACCAGCCACTATGCCTGTTTGACATGGCTCGTGTTTGACATGATAGTTAATCTCTCTCGCAGAAAGTAGATCTACATAGTCTCTTGGATGCTAAATTGTCTATCCATCAATCAAATTTTAGAGCATATTTATTCAGTCGTCGATACTGACTTGTATACCATTCATGAAGAAATGCTCACTCTGATCGAACTGCATAGAATACAGAAGAAATGTAGTGTGAGGAACAACAAAATTAAAAGATTAAGCAATTTGAATTTTTTTTGCTTGAAGTAAGCTTATTTTAAAATACAAAACAATTGAATCACAGGTTTCGAATTTAAGATACGAGCACCGCTACAATTTCAATGTGTATATAAAATAAATACAATACAGAAACAGGCAACCTCAGGCTTACCTTGGACTCTAGAAGGAGAGAAAGCGAGAGGAAAACCAACAAATCCTCTAGCCAAGAAAAAAGCTATGAGCCAGGTCTGGTAAACACGATTTCTTTGACCTCGCCGGCCGCGCAGTTGTGAACAATACATGATCACAGTCATAAATACCTCTCTCAGCTTTCATCTACGTGTGAGCAAAAGCCCTAGGCAAAATACTACATATTTACAAAAGCGAAACACAAGAACCAAATTCAAAATGGCCGCGCTCAACTTTGAAGGTCTTCGAGAAACTTGTACCCAGGCTCTCCATGTTATCGGCCGAAAGTTTACATCTGAGTGAGTCACACATTTGCGGATTGCATATTTTGCGCCATACTAATAGTCGTTTCAACGCTTCGCGTATCCACGACTAAAAATAGGGTTTCTTTTATTATTTCTTCGAGTGCACCCTNATTAAAATAACAAGTTTAATTTATTGAATGATCGCATCAGGAAGCCTTGAGATATCTAAATTTTCTCTCGTGAGTATCACTTTTATTTTACTTTAATTCAACTTTACTTAAACTGATAAAAATTGTTAGAAATTTAATAAAGCATGAATCTAAAGAAGTCCTTCGTAGCGCGCACGGTTTCTTTGACAAATCTGCCCAAAAAAATTGCAGCAAAACGGCGATTTATATTCTATTTTATAGATATATAACAAACAGTATTTTGTTTCGCCAATAAAATAGTCTTTAGTTTGTTTTGTTCTCTGTTCAGTTCTTGCGAAGCGAAGATGTGACACTACTTGCTTTTGTTGTCAAAAACATTTTTACTTTAATACTTCCGGGTCAACTATAACTCTTCCCGCCTCGCTACTTTAACTTCATGTCACGTTTACTGTGCAAATATCGCATATTTGTACTCCACTTTTTTCGTAAATTCAGATATATTTAGATCCGTTCTATACCGCATCTGGCAATTTGAGAAACGACTCCCTCGCATGAGTTATCGTGCTCCATAGCGGTAGGCCTGCTGCCAGAACTTGTCCTTTTCGCTCAAATGTTGCGGTCCTGAGAAATGAGCGGCTCTTGCCGTGTAAGACAAAGTTGTTTTTTTCTGCTTTTTAGGAAGACTAACAGATGATTCTTTTGGCTTGTAAGGCGTTTGACCTGTAGAAACTTTCGACGACGCGCTTCCATCTTCACTACGTCGGTGCTGACCTCGGCGTTTCTTTGCGTCTCGAGTCCGTTGATGTTTTCTTCTGGAGAACATGAACGGAAAACATCCACCAAACAATATCAAGAAAAGAAGTATCCCAGGTTTTGTCATGTTGCTGCTGAGTGAGACTGTTTGTAGAGATCAAACTGAATCAAATGAATTATTTCCAACGGCTCCTATCTTTATGCCAGAGGGTGGTTACTTGATGTGNATTAAAATAACAAGTTTAATTTATTGAATGATCGCATCAGGAAGCCTTGAGATATCTAAATTTTCTCTCGTGAGTATCACTTTTATTTTACTTTAATTCAACTTTACTTAAACTGATAAAAATTGTTAGAAATTTAATAAAGTATGAATCAAAAGAAGTCCTTCGTGGCGCGCACGGTTTCTTTGACAAATCTGCCCAAAAAATAGCAGCAAAATGGCGATTTATATTCTATTGTATAGATATATAACAAACAGTATTTTGTTTCGCCAATAAAATAGTCTTTAGTTTGTTTTGTTCTCTGTACAGTTCTTGCGAAGCAAAGATGTGACACTACTTGCTTTTGTTGTCAAAAGCATGTTTACATTAATACTTCCGGGTCATATATAACTCTTCCCGTCTCGCTACTTTAACTTCATGTCACGTTTACTGTGCAAATATCGCATAATTTTACTCCACTTTGTTAACAAATTCAGATATATTTAGATCCGTTCTATTCCCCATCTGGCAATTTGAGAAACGACTCCCTCGCATGAGTTATCGTGCTCCATAGCGGTAGGCCTGCAGCCAGAACTTGTCCTTTTCGCTCAAATTTTGCGGTCTTGAGAAATGAGCGGCTCTCGCCGTGTACGACAAAGTTGTTTTTTTCTGCTTTTTAGGAAGACTAACAGATGATTCTTGTGGCTTGTAAGGCGTTTGACCTGTAGAAACTTTCGACGACGCGCTTCCATCTTCGCTAACTCGGTCCTGACCTCGGCATTTCTTTGCGTCTCGAGTCCGCTGATGTTTTCTTCTGGAGAACACGAACGGAAAGCATCCACCAAACAATATCAAGAAAACAAGAATCCCAGGTTTTTTCATGCTGTTGAGATTGTTTGCAGGGATCAACCTGAATCAAATGAATTATTTCAAAGGCTCCTGTCTTTATGCCACTGAGAGGGTGGTTACTTGATGCGAAAACTACAGCCTCGAATCAAACGCGTGTTGGAATCGCTGAAGCGATTCTCCCGGCCTAGTCTCGCCACAAACCAGCATTCGTTTTGAAACCTGTCAATAGACCTAATGGATTATCACAATCATCAAATGTCTCGTGACACAAAGACACTTATGTAAATGATGATTAAATATTTATGACAATAATATCACTGCCTGCGTTTTTCTAAGTTTAATAATTTCATGAATTTTCGAGGCGCAACAGTTCTACAGGAAATGACTTTTAAAATAGGTCTTATTCACGGTAGCCGCTACAATATAGCAAATGAAAATTGTTAATCACGTGATTTCTGAGAGGAAACGTCTTCAAATCGATAGATCTTCAACAGATAATCAAATCGATAGATCTTCAGCAGAATTTTTTTCACATACATTGTAAACCGACTTACGACATTACCGCTGTGAACTGCGCGGTAAAAAAATACCTGCTTATGAGGTCTTTAACAAGTACATACAGATACACCGTTCCAGACTAAGACGATATCATTATAATTGTCTATTGTCTAATATGACACTCGATGTGATTTAATTTTGGCACAGATGCTGGAATGTTCAGGTAACCTGATTTTCTGAGAAATGTCGTCTTTGCTGTGTTGCCCCTTGGCAGACCTCCACATGCGTAACTTGCACCATTCGAAATCTGGTGCTATCCAGGATTGAAAGAGTTTTTCAAAGGATATCTATTCTGTTGCTCAAAGACACGTATTAGCTGTCACGGACACAGTAACAAAACTTTCTCAGGTGTGGGTGTGAGGTCTTTATACAATCTGGCTTAGATCCGTAGATATTTATCCGGCTTATGTGTTCATTCACGAAAAAATGTCCCTCAGTGACTTTAACAGACGCCTCAAATATTCCGAAGCCTGGCTTTGTTCGAAATTTTACTTGATAACTGCATTCGCTGGGGCTTGACCTCGATGATGGCTGAAAAAGCGGCTTTCCGAAACCTAAGCCCATTCCGTTTTTAATTTCCCTAAACGTCTGTACTTTAACACTTGGCGCCTCCTGCCAAGCGCTTAAAATTTCATTCACTGTGAGTCTTGCACAAAGACGGCGTACTCTGGAGTCTTCCGCGAGTAATTTGTTAATGTGATCAGCGGCATGTAGAGCGCTCATGCGGACATGCGCGTGCGTCGTATTGAGAGGCAACCACTGGACACAAGGACAGAAATACTCCGGAATCTTAGCTTCTTGACATGTTCGGTTTTGATGAATTGTTGAAAAGAGGCTGGTGCCTCGAGTGAGTTCTGTTTGCGATGGGTCGGCAGGATACTTTAACACGTGCATAAAAGTTGCGTGTAAATCTAACGGGGTTATAATGATTTTCGTGTTCTGCTCGAAATTCTTCACTAATTGTGGATATCTTGCGCGGAAGCTAGCTGGAAGAGCGATGGATAGAAATGGCAACCGCTCTTCCAGTTTCCCCTGAATTGTTGATCGGAACTCGCCGGTTCGTGCACCATGGTCTCCCATAACGACAAACATGGTGTCATTTAAAAACCCGGCGTCTCGGATGGATTGAAAAAATTCAAAGAAGTCCTTAGCGGCGGCACCAAGAGGCATAATTGAGTCGTGATGACATAAACTACTCAGAAAAGTAAAGCCAAACTTCGGTGTCCTGGGATATGCTCTAAACAGGCTTTTCAGGTATTCCAGCTGAAGTGTGTGTTGAGGTTGTGAATTGAGACATTTCTCATGAAGTCCACTGTCAGAATTGTGTGGCACTGCTGACCAAAAGGGACGCGCATAATGGTCGCAAGGGGGCTCGCGGAAACCTTCGAGCCTCAAGTTGAAAGCACCTGAAAGAGGCAAAGTATAAAAGATAGCCATAACAAATTAGGTTGCAGGTTGAACTTTGCCATTGCACACAAATGCATGGAAGATGTAGATTGAGTTGCGCACGATGATGTTGAAACAGAAAGCGATTTCGCTTCTAAATCTGACTTACGTCATGTCTGGCGCAGCAATTTCAAGGGTGCACATTGATTGCAATGTCGTGTTGTTTGTCCGGGTAATAAGTCACATAATTATATGGCTAGCTCCGTGAGCGGGCAAGATGAATCAAATCCAGCGCTGTGATTGGCTACCCGAGCTTGCAAGATGGAGCTATCTTGCCCGCTCGGGACTACCGCCGTGTCCCGCAAGGAAAATTTCCCCGAAAGCCATATAATAAATCCTTTATTGACCAAGCTTGTTCGGTCAAGATGGCTGGATAGTGGCCTCGTTGTTGTTGTTGTTTTTTTTTTTTCGCGTTTATGGACCTCGACTCCGTCTCGGTCCAGAAACACGCAAAAAAAGAACTTGGCCAATATTCAGCCATCTTGACCTCACACTTGCTGAATAACCCATACTTTTTAAAAGGAAAATCGACCAGCCGCGCACACGTAAAAACTATTCAATTCGTCTGTGCACAAGCACGATAACGGCACGGTTTAACCTCATACCCAGGTCTCACTCGGTTTTGCCGTGGGAGATCTGGTGTCGAGATGAGACACAGAAAGAAATCATTTTCTTACCCATGGGTGGCGCATCTTCACTGAACAGCGTAACGTATCCATGCTCCTTTAACGTCTTAAAAATAAACGGCCACTCGTCCACGGTCCTCGCGCCGGCAAATCCAGTCCGCGCTTCGTGAAGTTTATTATTTTCTTCCACAGTCCTCCCGGTCAAAAGCGCTGTGAGCTGAGGCGTGGTCGCTTCGCCAACAAGAGAAAATCCTTTGAACATAAACGCTTGTAGCTCATCGCGAAGAAACTTGTAGGAGTCAGGCAACAGCCTCTGGAAAGTTGCCCGCGAAGTTTGATCTAGTCCCAAAATAATGATATTCAATGGTAAACCAGCTCTTTGACGAGCTTTTCGCTGCAAAACGGCAGGTTTTGGAATAACCTGTGCATGAAAATCAGTTTGAATCATTCCATTGGGAAATTCCGCACGGATTTGAATGAAGTCGTGGTTGGGTTTTAAAACAGGACCTTTGTATTTGAGGGACGTGGGTTTTCCTAAGTTAAACCCCCAGTCAAGTCCTTCCTGTCTATGTATGGTTTGGTAATAAATCGACTTTAAAGGAGCACCTGTGAAATAGAAGTGTTATAATTATCATTATTAGGTCATTCTATAGCCAACCTCCTTTTCTTTTTCTCCACAATTCTCTTTTGCAAAATCTGTGATACAAGAAACTTAAAACGCAGACGCAACTGGTAAGTACAGTACATACGAAGGACGTGAACTTGTGCAAATGTAAACGGCGCCTGAAGAATTCACACTTATGTCCAAGATTACACACTAATGAAATGTTTTCTCTTTATCATCGCAAAGTGTCATTTTCATATTACTTCATATTCGACAGAATTATTGGTGTTTTGGTGCCTTCTTACAAAAAAGGACACTTTGTGAAGCTTATCATGATAGGCGTGTGTCTTATATAATCCTGATCTCCCTGCTCGCCAGACTTCAATTCCCGCCTTTTCCGCCCGGTTTTTCGAATGCCCTGAGATAAGATTTGATGTTTCAACACGTTTTCTGCGACTGCTTAATAGTTTAAGATACCGTTTGACATTGTCTTAAGTTAGAAATGTTGGCCACATTAGTAAGAAAAAACCTAAATTAGTCATTGCACTTGCTATTATCGCAGTGGGACCCAACGGATCGTTTCGGTAAATTATCTGTTCGGAAAGCCTTTCTTCCCCTCCAATTTTCGTACGAGAATTGTCACCTCGAACTTTTGTGATACGAGAATTTTAATGCCTGCTGTTTTCAGAAGGATAAAAAATGTCTTTTTGGGTATCAAAAAAAGGTCAGTTATGATTTTCAGTAAGACAATAAGGCCTAAGGTTTTCGGGAAATGGACAAGACAAGCCCTAATAAATTCGAATAAATTCGAATAAATTCGAATAAATTCTCCTAGAATGACCGAGCAGATAAAGATTGTAAAGCGAAGCCTAACATTAACCTACAGAGCTTTAAAAGCACTCCAGATAACCTCATGATAAACAGCGTTTTAAAGCATTCGAGACAAAACTGTCGTTGGATGATATGCCCCTGTTCTCGTTCACAAGTTTGCAGCAGTTCACAGTTAACTCACCTCTATCATGATTCGTGACAACTTCCAGAGAACCGTCGAGGTATCTTGTAAAGAGTACTCCTTCTTTTTCACAGGTCATGGGAACCATGGTTAGGAAATACTGCATGGCATTTTTGTCAAAAGGATCGATGTCCGGAAGCCGGCAGCCTGCTTCAGTCGAACTGGACGACGACATTTTAGACCGCACCACGGCACATGAGAATACTTCTTTGGTAATAAATTCTAGACGAAGAAAAGATCAAGAAAAAGCTTAAGTCTGCATACGAGCCAAGCTGGAGCTAATCCCGGTTTCTGTAGCATGAAACGACTAGGAATATTTCTACTCCACCCTGGCTGAGATGCTAATCCACAGCAAGGTTACCCCCAGCATTAAGTTTGCCGGTACCCATTTATACACCTGGGTGGAGAGAGGCACTGTGAAAGTTAAGTGTATTGCCCAAGAACACAACGCAATGTCCCCGGCTAGGGCTCGAACCCAGTCCGCTCAATCCGGAGACGAGCGCATTAACCATGAGGCCATCGCGCCTTTTCAAGTGGCTATAAGGCTAAGATGAAAATACCACAAGCATAAAATAAAATCCCTGAAATCCTGGACCAGTAGCAAGATATGTGTATGTTTTAGAGCGGAAATGAAAAATTGCCTTCCCACGACAAATATACCGGTACTTACTAACTTTTTCCCTGAATTCAGCTTTCACGTACAATGTTGAGTTTGCCTCAGTGAAAAGATTCAAGTTCGATGCCAATGTATAAACGAATGTTGTTTTTTCTTTGAATTTGGAGATTGCTTGGCAACGTTCCCCAGCAAGTTCACAAGCTTTGACAGCGTCCTGTTCTGAGTAGAATACTTGAATAGGAGCGTCACTGCTACCGGTTCGTTTTGCATTTGTATGCTGCAACTGAGGGTGGAAAAGGGACAAACGTTAATGTACTGAGTGAAATACACTTAGTCTAATGTTACTCGCAATTAGGTCTATTGGCTGGTGCTTGAGTCCGGCTTCTTTGCCGTAACTTGATCTAAAGCCACTTAGCTGGCGCGTCTCTGAAGAGAACATGAAGAAACAGCTTGTTCAATCAACACTTGTTTTAATTTATGATAAATGTAAGGTAAATATTAAGTCTGCATACGAACCAGGTGGCCCATCATGCTGCCGCGTAACTCCGGTTACTGTGGCACGAAACAACCAGGAGTATTTCTACTTCCCCCTGGATGGTCTGTTAGTNTAGTCAATAAATTTATCAATGAAAGAGGGAGAGTGTGACAGTTTTGCGTGCGCGCACCAACCTGTACGGCAAACAGCTTTTCTACTGCACAAATAACTGTAAAAAAAACTCGCTGTATATTTGTAGTGTTATTTGGACGGTATTCGGCTGCAGTTGGATAATAATTAACAATTATTCACCGAAGTGGAGGAAAATATCCATCACTTTGACTAACACTGGGGTGAATAATTGTTTTAGTATATACCACACAAGCTGAATAATTGGCGGACCAAACCCTTATTTTATGTGTGACAAGCGGTCGGAAATTTTAAAATAATCTCTCGTGCCGGCTCCTCGGAGGTGAATAGTACTTGCTAATCACCTCGGAGTTAACCAATCAGAGCGCGCGAAAAGCACTATTCACTTGTGTGCTGTATACTAACACTTGAATCTTCTCCAGTTTTACCTGAGGAACATTCAGTGCCGTGATGCGTTTAGGCGAATCGCGCGCGAGCGACAATATTTGATGAATTATAATGCTTATAATAAAAAACTGGGTCATTGGATAATTAACATAGCCATCATGGTATATGAGCCATTATAATCTGGTTGGTCGCTTGTAGTTGTTGGCCCTTAGAACTAACTTAGTCGTGTAAAAAGTGGTGTTTCAACTGTTCCTTCTTACAAGTTGCGAGAAACATTCTCAGCTGTCCGCAGGTGTAAAAGGGGCGGTATAAATAACTTGCGTAAGCCAAGGAGCTAGACGTTTGAATGAACTTGCCACTCAACGTAAAACACATCTGCGAATGTTAAAAGGATTGTTTAATAAGCACAAGTTACAAATCAGCTCTTTCTTTCTTTTTTTCCTCTTACGCAATCCTTCGTTAAATTAACAATTAGTTACCCTAACCATGAACTTTTCCTGTTCATTTTTTTCTTTCTCTAACTATCGTAACGAGTCAACTTTATCGTTCAGTGTAAATAAAGCGTCACTGCTGAACGCATAAATAACGTAAATAGTTTATTTTAAACCTCTTTTGTACTTTTTCAGTTTACTAGTTAATTCTGGTCCCTATTTTTCTCATCTGATTTCCTTCTGTCCATATTATCCGGGCCTATCTGGTTCAGGGCCATAAAAGCCTTCGTAAGCAGAACATTCCTTCACTGTAACTGTCCCTCTTTCCGTGGTAACGTCTGTGATTATCATACTGTTGGCTAGGAATTCAAATCGCGAATACCGTGGGATCACCGGGGTGTTTTTGACTTCCGAGGGGGCAGGGAGAGGGGTTTCATTCCGTGTAGTGGGTAGCGGGTTTGTTGAAGCCGTCGGAACTGCATCAGCGCTTGTGTTCACTGGTTTATCTTTGTCGTTGACTGCAGCTTTTTCAGCTACCACAGTTGTGTCGAGTATGTCTGTCTTTGTATTACTACTGCTACTCGAAGGACCGCTCATGACTTCGTCCACTAAAGAGGTCGAAGGCACCGCAATTTCCTTCGAGCAGACTTCTTCGGCTTTCAAAACCGAACCAGAAAAACTGCCCTCGCCGGGTACCGCGTTCTGTAGAGCTTTCTCTTCGACGTTGGTGGCACAAATTTCCACATCTAACTTTTCGGCTTCTCCTGCATCGTTTACGGCGAGAGGATTTAACTCCTCAGAGGCTAAAGGTTCCGGCAAAGGAACCTCGCCACTGCCTCCGTCCATCTTCGGTATCTTTCGTTTTTTCCGACGTTTTCTTTTCACTGGTGGATCGGGAAGAACTTCCTGCGATGGCTCAGCGATTTCACAATCCCTAGCATTATCATTGACGTCTTCAATGTTTACAGACGGTTCCACATCCTTGGCTGCCTACAAAAACACAAGAAAAATCGTGTGTAGGTCATTTGCATGTTTGGGACAAAATCTGTTTCCTTTAGGAGCAACAAACAAAACATATACGGTAAATATCGTAAAATCCGAGGAACAACCAAACGTGCGCGAATTTCAGCTCTAAAACAGCCGGCAGAACAAATATCAGTGATTAAAAAATGTTATGCATTTACATTTGGTAAAAGGACATCAA